TCGTGGTGGCTGCCTAAATCCTACTTAAGAAATGAAATTAAGTGTTTGAGCAGATAAGGAGTGAAATAAGTGATACAGTGTCACCGTAATTTTGCTCGGACGTGGTGTTCCTTCACTCCAATTACTTTCCCAGCAGCACACTCCTCCTGCCAACTAAGTCGAGCAACTAAACTAAGAAACAAATACTTGGAGATAAACAAGGAAGAGACAGTGGAAGGCTGAGGAAGAAGAAAGAGGAGAGAAAACTCGATGGGATGGAATCGGCTGGTCTTGCTCCCAGTTTTGTGTAATTGGGGAAAGTGGTGCGGTACACACATAGAGTCGTCTGCACGAGACATTATTGTTATTGTATGGAATCATCCAACCCAATCCTTACTCGTCCTTCTCCTTTATCCTCACTTTTCGCAACACAGCAATTTCTATTTCTGAAGGTTCACAACCTTTCGCAAAATTCCAACAAAACTTTCACCTTTCTATGAAATGTGACTACAATAAGAAACTTTCCAACTGCTCCCCATTTGTTTTACTTCTGCATCTATATATAAATCCTATTCAGAAAATGGCCAGTTTTTTTATCACCATTCGCCAAAAAAATTGGATTCGTCGCTTTGGAATTCGACTCACTGCTTGTATTACGGACGGTTTAGAATTCGAAATTTGTGAGAGAGAAAAATAAAATATAATATAATTTTTAAGAAAGATAGGATTCCATCAACATGGTGGCACGAGAGGAGAAAAATTGATCTGATAAGAATAAATGCGGATTGGTTGGCCTTCTGCTTGTTGGAGGACAGGGTTTGTCAGTCGTGTGTGATTTCCGTGATTTGTGGCTATTCGGACGAACCAGTCGTGGTGCTATCCCAGAACAGGAGGCTTTATTCATTCCGAACTTGTGGCAGGAGTAGTTGGTGGTGGTGGTGGTAGTGATGCAATCAAAATCCAGTACACTTGACCATTTCCAAGTGATAATAGGACAATGTCCAGAATACAGAGTGAGTCAATCCGCCTCTGTTCGTGCATTCCGCAGGAAAAATGGGGATGAATTCGGAATGGTAAAGAGAACTTTGTCTCCGTAGGAAATAGTACATGGTGTAGAAATGTGGTAGGGGACTATCGTATCACTGTGGGTTTTTTGGTTTCGGATTTACTTTCCTCAGGAGAAAGCGAGAGACACAGAACACCACGCCAAAATATTCATCCCATCAACATGCAACTCTGGTCTGAATCGAATTCATGTTTAACTCACTCCTCTTCTTCTTCTTCTTGGACTTCGGCTTGGACTTGTGTTTTCCTCGAGCAAAATGAAAGCAAATGTGTCCTATCACGGTGCATGTGGAGTGATTTTTCAATTCTAAACCCACGTAAATTTAGAACGATTGCTTACTACAAATTGTGCAAAGCTGGACTTGATTTTATTTTATTTTTGTCAACGTCCTTTCCATACGAAACCTCAGAACGAATTACGCAGCAAATACACGTGTGAGTTTGTGTATATATGTAAGCACTGGCAGAAATTTATAACAAAAGTGCTCAAGTACAGTGTGGGTGTGGAAGCCTCATTATTGCACAACAACAACAACAACTCATATCAAAATATGTTGGTATGGTTCTCCTCCGATATTATGTTCAGCCTTCAGAGCAATTAAATCAAACAAGCAATTGTGAGAGAGCGGAGGGAGTGGTTGGTTTGTTGGTGGGTTGGCATGCATGCATGCATGGCTGTCTGGATGGTTGTACATACGTACGTACATACACCACTAGAAAGATCAAAGAAACAAAACTTGGGCAAAAATTTCAATTACCTTATTTTATGCTCCACAATTCTCCAAACTCTCAACTAATTTCCCGCATGCTTTTCAATAAACCTATTCATTAATTTGTCCACGGGAAACATATGAATATTTCTGAATGTGCTTAAACACACGGTTGCATCTCACTCGGTTTCACCCTTCCTCTATTTCCATTCACCATTGATTTTCATTTATTTTCCCAACGTCCTCCTTTCTTTCTTCTTTTCGTTAATGACAAACTTTTGCTTTTAAAATTTAAATCTCGTCATCCATCCATCCATCCGACCAGGCAGCCAGGCAACATCAACTTCAAAGAAATCTCTCTCTCCTCGTGATTGGTGGAGTGGAAACAAGGTTGCACTGCTTCTTTGACTACGCTCATTTGCTTATAGAGAAATGAGCGAGATGGATGCGGTAGTATTTAACCCCATTGTGATGAAGCTCATTAAGCTCACAAAATCAAATAAGAAGAATGGGAGATCCTTCTTATCTTCGTTATCATCACGACTCATTAGCGTGCTTAGTTTACTTTATGTAATACAAACCATGGCGGCTCTCAAACGTCGAGGAGGGGTTTGAAGTTTATTGAATCAATGCAACAAGAGAGTACAGAGTTACACAATCCTTTTAATGTGGGGACAACGTCGATCAGTCCCCTACAGTGATGAACTGCGACGACTTGAGAAGAAATAAATCGAACCACCGCCACGAACGACGGCTAATTTGCGTCGTGTATCACAGATTCCTTTGCTGTGTAAGAGAGGTGGGCAAATGTTGGTCTAAAGGAGCTGGATAATGTCGATAGAAGAGTTCATTTACAAAATGTCATGTTTAATCACTGGTTGGAAATAACGGCACGAATTTCGCCACACATTTTTGTACATTTGTATTTCCAAGTTGAAAGCAAAGTATTATTTCGGAGTTGATGCAGCATGACTATGTTTCCTTTGGAACTGTGAACTTATTCCGAGCCAGCTCTCTCTCTCCACCTTATCCTATCCCGTTACTTGTTTAATGCCTGTGGATACGTGTTATTATCAAAGATCAAAGGAAACCCAAGTAAGTAAAGCAAAGTAAAGCCAACTGGAGTGATCAGCATCAGACCTTGCTCTCTCCCTTTCTCACTTCATTACGACTGAGCCGAGTGTGGTGTGGTTGGTTTTGGGTCTGTCTCATTTCCTTCCGGAGCTTTGATTCATTTCACATGATGATTTTCAACCCGTATATTTACAGACATTTCTCCTTTTTAAAATTTTTGTCAGGGAAAAAATGTCATTTGTGGGGAGGAAAGTGTTGTTGGTGATGAGAGAAAGAGTGAGGAGAACCATGAACAAGCCGCAAATGTCTTGCTCAGCAGCAAAACAGGCTGTGGTGGTGCGTCGTCGTTGTTGTTGTTGTTGCTCTTCCTCCTGCCAACACCAATTTTCACATCATTACAAAATACGGAGCGGAAAGAGAAGAGAGAAACAGGGAAAAGAACAGTGATTTGTGTGTTGAGGCTGAAAATGTATGTTTGTGACGGTAATGAATTATCCAAGTCTTGCTTCTCACTCACTCACCTTGGAGTAATTAATTAATCTTTGCGGGGTAGCAGGAGCAGGAGACGGTAAACAGCCAGCCAGCTCCTCCAGTAAGGTTAGGACCGTATAAGCGACGCCGCCACCAACTAAACCGACCAACTAATAACGGGCACACGCAGCTATGGGCACATTATGCAAGAAAGAAAAGGGAAAGAGAAGGAGGTTGGTGGGTTGGTTGGCTGGGTAGGCGAGAGATGAATTTGATGCGAGGAAAACGACATGACAGACAGTCGTAGTGAAGTAATCAGAAAGGACAGAAAGGATTCTGGATTTGAATTACCATTATTGCATCAGAATGAATACGAACCACAGAAACATTAGCAAGCTGCTGTTTCATAACTTTCTTCTTAATTGGAAAACGGATTCATTACATGACAGACAGTAGGAGATGATGATGAGGCGCGTAGCATGGGGAAAGCACCACTCGTAGATTATTTCGATTTTAACTTGTTAATGGTATTTTGTGGGTAATATGAAAAGTTTGGACTTGTGTAACAAAGTAGTATTGAAACGGTTATGAATTCTAATATAACTCGGCATATGTATGTATGCATGTAAGGATAACTTTATGCAGCGGTATGCAACTTTGTACAGTATACAGAAAGGAAGGAAGGATCGAGAATGATGGTTTTTAGGATTTTAAAAATTCTTCAAATTCCATTTTGGAAAATCGGCCAGAAATTTTGGTGTCGCGTCGTCTTGCGTCTTGATTTTTCTCGGTATGTAGTAGTAAGTGTTGGAAAAGACAAAAAGGACAATGTTTTGGTGGACGTGATAAGACGTCGCGCTTTCAATTTTCCACCACGACTTAAACTCGTTGATATTCCACCCAGCCTTGATTTGTACCCTGGGGTTTACATTTTTAGGTTGCGTGGAAATCAGTGTCAGTCTCGAGAAGGAGGAGGAGCAGTGGCGTCGGCGGAATAAAAACTGCTCTGGAATTTTGATTTTTAACAACACGCTTTTAAATGCAATGTGTGTGAGGAGCAGAATGTGTGTGCACGAATTTCCGTTTGCAACGTCTCAAAGAAAGTGCTTCCAGAAGTTTTCGTAAAAATATTAAATTTTGAGCAACTTTCACTCTCGATGAGAATTATGCCCTCGCAAAATAAATATGCTATCCATAACCAGGTACGTATATATAGCGACGAGTAGATGCCAATGTTCATTTATTACGCTCTGAACTGACGCGACGATGAAATTGACGTTGACGTGATATTAGTTTTATTTATTGACGTTGACATCCTGACACTGACATGAGTTGCCTTTGCCACCATCATCACCTTTTTGGATAATGACATGAAAGTCATCAACCAAGGAGGAATATATTCTAGGCATAACACAGCACAAGTAGAACAACAACTAAGTTCCGACATAATTCGTTTCTCATGTTTCTGTCATTTTAGTAATCCATTTTCAGTTTGTTGATCCTGTTTGTTTTGATCTGGGAAATTGGATTTGAATACAGCATGGAAAATTATATGGGTGCACACAACTTGAGGACAAACATAACACAGAAGCTTAAAATGAGCTGCTCCTAAATTTAGAAACGTTATCCTAGCACCTTAACCCCAACCTGTGTTTTAATCATACCTCTAAATTTATGAACCTCTACTTTCTCTCTTTACAGACAATGAGCCTGAGTCACGTATACTGCACGATAATCCTCATCACCTGTATGCTGGCCTACTACAACAGTCTCAACTGTAAGTTCAACTTTTACCTTTGCATTTAGTGGTCATCATTTACCAAATTTCTCGTCCGGCGACTGACGCACACAAGGTTAACAGAGTAATAACAAGAAACATATATTAAGTAAATTCTATATCAGCACAGTGAATGGCAACGCTTATTAAATACCAAGTAAAGCAATTATTTGTTCAATCCCTCCTTCAGTATTTTGGCCTCCTTCGTCAATTTCTCCATCTCTGCCTCCGAAGTCGAAATACGAGAATTGTCTTCTTTGATCTAAAACATATGCATAATTAATTGTTTAAATGAATTGCTTAATTTAAGACAAATAAACGAAATCAAGTTCACTTCAGTCTATACTCACCTTTGCTACACGTCCAAGAGTCCTGTGCCCCATGTCGGGAAGAAACTCCTCCCTTTTCCTCCTCAAGCAGGAATCCGTACGCATTTCACCTGTGCAGAATTTTCCCCATTGAGCTCTTCAAATTCAATGAGTTTGCATGACAAACATTCCAGTTCCAATTTTATTTTAACAAGTAGCCGTCTTCCTTTACTTTTCCATTGTTGGTGGGTCAGATTTTAGAGTCAAAGAGTAGTAGGTCATTTTTTGGTATTTTTGTGGACCCCACGATGTACCTTACATTCTTCAATCATCAATTCGAACTCGGCTGTGGTGGTGGCATTATCACGGTAAAAATATGTTCAGATATCAGATATCTTTGATTAAGATCTCTCAGTATTATATTCACTATCGTCCCCAAAACTTCTGGAGAAGGACAGAATAATGAAATATGCAATATCTAACAAACTTGTGTTATCAATATTACTAACAAATACAATAAATTATTAGATGATCCTTCCAAATCGAGACAGCAGATAAATCTGTTCTTTAATAAAATAAATTTCAAGCCAGAATAAGTGAAGTGGGCAAAAGCGAAATTGAGCCATGAACCTTGTTCACTTTTTCTCCGCTGCCCGCTGACGATGCATTTTTTCACTTTTACCTGCCTTTCTTTCACCTTGACCTTTGTCTTTTACACTGTTGTACTTTTTTGTCAGGTCAACTCGTCTTCGATGATGTCAGCGCAATTCGAGACAACCGAGACCTCCGACCACAAACTCCGATTAAAAACTTATTCTTCAACGACTTTTGGGGAACTTCCATGCACAAGGTGAGTGAGCAAGCAGTTTTATTTATAAAAAAATCCTGGTCTCTCTCAACGTTGTTCGAGAAAAGTTGGTTGTTGGGTGCGGATGTGTATGGCCGGACTATTATTCTTGGGAGGGGAGAGAAGGCCCGGAATGGTTGGTGGCAGGAGAGGAAGTTGATGCACTATTGCAAGAAAGAAACAGTTTCCTCCTTTATTGTATCCCATTCCCGTCATGCATGGTCCCTTAGTTTGCAGCAGGGGAGCAAAGAAAGTGGCGATGTGATAGAAAGTGCAGTGGAAAAATGAGGATCAGGTGAACTCTCAGTATGTCTGCCACTTTAACACACGTGTGGAAAGCGAGGGAGATAACGGTCGCCCACTTATCATCACGCCCTTTTTCTTTATTTAAAAACTGGGTGACAGTTATTGTCATCTTTATTTGAGGGGCTTTCCCACTCCGCCTTTACGATATACTTTCCAACCGAAACCTCTCCTCTCTCGGGCGGAGAGTGTTTGATGTTGAAAGGGCCAGATTATTATTCAACACTAAAATAAAATGGAATGTAGTGCAAATATTTCATCAGGGTCAAAAAATATATGGGAATCTCTCTCATTTCGGGATTTCTGTGTGGGAAAAAAGCCGAATATTTTTATAGCTACATACATCCTCCTTCTCACCTTTTTTGATTCTTAATGAGGAGTGAAACTTAGCGAGACGGAGAGAGTGCATGCATGCATGCAACTCCGAGTTGTATGCATTACTCATGATATTCCTTCTGCAGAAGAAAGTCCCTTTATTACCCAAAGTTGTTCCTGAAATGCTCATAAAATGGAAACAGCAGAGATGGGAGCAGTAGTAGTGGTCGTAGTAGTATTAAAATGAGACCCAGTCACAAACAGCCCTTGTTAAGTATTGAAGGTGAAGAACAAGAAGAAAAGTCAAAAGTTTTCACCACCACGGGAAAATGCTGCTAGAAAATGCAAAGATTTTTTTTCTATCCACCCTGTAAATAAGTGAGGAAGGTATACATATGGATTTACATGTATGTGCATGGATGGGAGTGAAGTGAGACTGAAATATTCAAATTGAACCCGATTATTAAAGCACATCCATCCAATTCACTCACAGGTCATTACGAGAGTCGTTAGCAGCAGTGGGAGCCAATATGCATGCGAATGTGAGTGGAACTGTAAATATTTCTGGGCAGGAAATGATTTTTTTTCAACAAGAAGGATATTTCACCAACAAGGAAATTTCTTGCTGAGTCAAGTATTGTGCTGCTTCACTAGTGGAAAAGTTGCTTTCTCTGTTGGGTAGCATGCAGGATATGAAGTGGAATAGAATAATATTTTATTTCAAGTTACATAGGCGACGACGATGACGACGATGGTAGCGGCGGCGGTGGTGGTGGTGGTGGTGGTGGTGGTGGTGGTGGTGGGTGCCCTGTAGTAGGGAAGCAAAGTTTTGAGAAGGATGAAATAAGGTCGGTACTAAAATAAAATATTATTCTTGGCTTAGTTTATTCATTCTGGGTGGTGATATAAAGTAGTCGTGGTGGTGGTGGTGCTGGCAATGAGGCGAGAAGAAGATGATGAAGACTTGGTATTTCTGTACGCTGCTTGATGTCAACGCTTTCTCTTCGGCGGGTTCCACTCCGAGAATGGACTCTCACCCATGCAAATCTCGGAATGGGAGATGATTGTGCGATTTAAAAAATAAGCAAACCCAGCGCAGTGATATGTACCCCTTCTTACTTTTATGGCATCTATATCATTATTTACTGCGAAGAAAGGTCGTTGTTTTGATGAATGTGTTCCATCTGAGGGAAAGTTTTGATATGGAGGAGAGGATAGTTCATCTTCACATGCTGCCTGGCAGGATAGACGGATTTTTATCCCTTAACTTTGCAAAAAATAAAATACATTCGCAATAAAATGTGATTGATGAGACGATGGAGAGAATAAAAGTGATTAACAAGGCAGCCTGGTGAGATTACAGTTTCATTTATAATTCCAATAATTTATTTATCTTCAGGTGGAAGAAATCTTGTCCTACTGCAAAAACCAAGTGGTGGTGATTTACACTGTTTGATATTATAAAATGTGTAGAGGAATGATTCGTGCCCACGGTTTTCGCTGGGAACGGTGTGCTATTTTATTAGAGTGAAAGAGCGAGGACGTAGGAATGAGAAAAAAGGTGCAATAATTCACGAGGAAATTTCATTACTCTTCTTCTTCGCCTCCACCACTGCGACTAGGACTGCTTTCACCACGGCAATTACGAGACCAGCACTTGGTAGACCCCCTCCCCACTACTAATTGCAATGGCAGCAGTCGATTACACGCGCATTAAGTTGGTCGGGCACTTCCCTCTGCTCCTTCTTTATGCCGTGGAGACAATAATAATGCGCCACGGAAGAAAGTTAATAACTCCACGACGACGACGACCACTGCTGCTGTTGTTGTACCTCAAAGAGAGGAAACAAACAATAAATGAAAGCGAGACGAGATAAGGACGACGACGAGGAAGGAAATGTTAATTGGGCCCAAACAGTTAACTTATGTTATTGACTGTGATAACTCTTTGGAAAGGTGTAAGTTGATGTAATTACACATTCCTGGCTTGATGACTATAATGTATCGCTCTTCTGCAGGGCAAGAATGCTGCTGCTACGTACGTACGTACATCCACAAACATACATATGTACCTACGTACATACGTTCAACGACTTTGTTGCTGTGCTACTTTCCGTGCACATTATTGTATCAACATCCAGACCATGATTGGGATGAAGGAGAAGACGCAGAAAGCGAAACTGGAGCTGTGAATGAGTATGTGGGTTCCACGTGGGAATTGGATCCACTCGTGTTTCACTTTCTCTCCAACTTGTGAAATATGTTGTTTTGCTATTTCATCCACCTCTCTCACGTTCTTGAGGGAGATCATGTTCTCGAAAAAATTCTGCATGCTCAAGACATTTTTGATGATGGTGGTGGTTTAGAATGAGTGGGCGTGGTGGCGGCATAGGTATAGTGTCCCCTGCCCAGTCTGCTGCTGCTGCTGCTGGGTCCATCATTCCATTACTGGGTTGATGGTGGGGAGAAATAACTGAGGGGAGTAAATGAGGTGGATAATGTTAGATGTGGTTCACATTATTCGGGGCGTGCTGCGTGTCATTAGTTCCCAGTGGTGGTGGTGAGCATAGTGCTGTCGCTTACTTAGTCTCAATCCACTTGAGTTCGGTCCACTACTTCGTCATTCAAAGCACTTCCGTCCTCGTCGTCCAGCTCTATCAATTCCTTGGCCTCACTGCTCCTTCACACTTCCAGTCGACGAAATGTGTGGGGGCGATGATGGTGGTGGTCGTCGTAGACTCTTCCGTGACGGACAGAATTATATCTTGTACTTCGGAAATTTTTACAAATTCGCTAAATTTTGATAGTGATAGTTGTCATCAGAGATTAGGTTGAATTGACGCCCCGCAGTAATGATCTCGATTGTCGTAGTGAGTGGTAAAGTGGGATGCGTACTCATCCTTGACAATATGTGACATAGATGCTGTAAATAAATAACCTGAAGAGAAAGAGGGAGAGAGAAAGGCAGCTCTTGACCATAACTATACGGCTACGCATCCATCCACTCCTCGTGAAGAGAGAGAGAGAGTTGGACGCTCTTTCTGTCGGGATGCTTTGCTCATGGCTTTATCTATTCCAAGGAATCTTTTCACATTAGAAGAGCGAGGTCCCAATTTCACAAGATTACCAACATCAAAGTAAATAGAACTCGCTCACTCAATCTCATTCCAGTAGCTTTTCTCCATTACAACTGATAGAAAAATGACACTTTTCCACTCAATTTCAAAATTATTTTCTGTCCTACAGATAAAACTGGATCCATTTCATTTTTCGAGAGTGCATCATATGTACGGATGCTCTGTGTTATGGGGGCATGTATGTACATACATGTGTCGTGCGGCTGATGGGGTGACCAAAAACTATAGACCTTCGCACACTCACGTCACACGGTGATCATGGGTGACAAATGTTGGAAATTTGTGAAATTTCTATCTCTTTCCCCTCTTCTCCGCATTATTTTGGATAGTTACACCAACCAATTCGAGGGAAGGGAGGAAATTAAATGCAATAACATTATCGCAGCGGTCCAAATCTGTGAAAGTTTTTACTTTCACTTTCACGGCACTTTTAGAAATTTGTGGTTCAAAAAGCTTTCAAATTTGCACACACAATAGGTTCAAACTGAATTTGTGAGTACGAGAAGAAAGAAGAACGAGCTTTATAGCTTCTTTCCATCTCATACAACTTTCTGGGAGGATTATTCGAGTTTCTACTTTTCAAGTTATTCAGTCACATCTCAGAAAGAAGAAGCTGCTAGCACCCTGCCAGCCAGCCAAAGTAGTAACTAACCCGCTCTCGAGCTACTACTAAATATATTCGCCAACTAGGTAGCCCACCCACTCGTAGAATGGTAAATGAGGGGTCAACTAAACTGTGTGTAGTAATAGTAAGAGCACCACCACCGCCACCCCGGGATGACGTGGATTGGGGTAGAGGTGCAAAGTTTAAAATGTTTATGAAAAGCTTTCAAAGTGAAAAAGTTTTGAGCAGTTGGTTCTTGTTGGGGGCTTAAGGTTTTAGGGTGGAAATTATTTCAACCTCTCTCTCTCTCTCTCTGGACAAGAAATTCCTGGTGCAGGCGGCGAGGAAGGAGAGAGTGAGGAGGAGGTGGCTGCGTGCTCAGAATGTCTGAATTCATCTCGTGAATGCAAAATGGAAAAGTAATCTTTTGTGGAGGTATAAGAAACAAAGTTGGGAAGGACGTACGTTGGATAAAATAAAAATTAGAGTTAATCTTGTCCTCACAGAGGAGAAGAACACTCGAGAGTAAATACGACCGTGTGTTACTTCTTCTACTTCGTAGTAAGATTTCCCTCCTTCTTGCCGTCTCCCTTGTCGCTTAAGGTACAAAAATTACGAACCCGTTTGTAAGCAAGTGCTTCCCTTCCGTATGCAGAATGGGATCTTGATTCTCGTTCCCGATGCAATATTCACTTCTTCTTTGAAGCTACCACTTTAAAGCAAGTCGTCCGCAACCAGACTCTGTCGGGGTGATAACACAAGAACAACAACAACAAGGACACATACACCCAGAGAGATAAGCGTTCAGTGGTTGCGTTGTGTGGATTCAAACCAAACAAGAAGATATTTCCCCAAGGAGTGAGAATAAAGATGAAAGTAAGCTGCTCCTTCTTCCTCCTCTGTTGGAGCTCCTCCTGCTCCTGCTGCACTGCTGTTTAGTGACGACGGAAATAATGCAGAATTGCATCCCTTTGTTATTCCTGGCATCATATTCCTTACAGCATACCAAGACCACGGTCGGAGTGGAAAAATGTATAATATCTGATGCACCGTAAATTTCCACCGTTCGCATTCATACATGTCACTTTGGCAAGATATGGGTCTGGACATGTGGGATAAACTGTTTTATCTTTTCCTATTATATTTTTAATTGGACCCGTAAATTAAGCGAGGGTGGTCCACGCTCGTTTCTAACTACCTACATCCGCATTTATTGTTATATAACAAAAGTGTGCAAGAGTCTGGCCAGAGGAGACCATTACTAAGTGCACAAGGTGAAACAATAACCTCCCATAAATCCGGTTGATTCTTATTGCTACAGTATTTCTGTCCATTTTTCTCCCTCTCCTCCTGACATGTTCTGCTTTACTCGTTTGCACACACACACACAAGTTTTATTATTTGTTGGGAAGAAATCTCTGGAGACGGATATGAAAGGAGAGAAGCCAATCGTGGCCATTGACATTACGTTGTGTATGACTTGGTGTGATGTGTGTGCACTAGTGCTTTTAATCTGGAGGGAGTCAGACAAAAGAGGATGAGACGAGGTGAACGTGACGAATTTTTGACAAGACGGAAGGAACCTTTCTCTCTCGTACAGAACATGACATGCATTAGTAGTTCTCAGCATCCTTCCTCCTCTTCTTCCAACAGTTGTACGAGCGGCGGCGGCGAGAGCGGGAGCGGTTATCGTTGTAGGAATGATGGAATCCTTAAATTTCCATTTATTCTTGTGACGTGGTCAAACTTTTCGCCTGGAGGCGAACGCTCAATAAATAATGTGTTTGTTTGTCGTTCTACAACAACTTTCTCCTCCTTTCACCGGCTACTTTACATTGGTTTTTGTTTCGTATTGTTATGCACGGGACAGAATAAAATATGAGGATGGGTGTTGTAGAGGAAAAGAGAATCTTTCTACTTTAGTGCCGGCCGGCCGGCTGCTAAAAATTCCAATTTCGTCTCGTTATTTACGACCTTTGCCTTGCACTTTGCAATGTTGCACCGCAAAAGAGGGAAGAAGGGAAAGGAGGAGGAGGAAGGAAGTAGAAAGAGGAATCCGCATATTTTACCATTGTCATGTCACGCACTAAACTAAACATTCATGTATTCATTCACATTCCGAGGGGAGACTGAGACCAAGACCTTCAGCCTGATTCGTGATGCTGCTGATGCTGCTGATGCTCCTGCTGGAAGAGAGTTAAATTTCCTTGTTTGTTTTCCTTTAGAGTGAAAGTGATTGTTTTTCCGGGTGTGTAGACAGAAATCGTAAGTTTGCTTATTTTTCCTTTATTATTATTTGCAACATTTCTGTCAGAAGAAGAATCGAGCACATTAATATTCCAGAGGAAGCGGGCTGCGTCTTGTGAACGCCATGTGGACTTAAATTAGGAAAGAATTAAGTAAACAAGTATTAAATATTAAACAAGGCGAATAAGTTGGCAAAAATTATGGGCATTTTCTCTTCGGCGATATTCTTCGTGCGGATGTATATTTCGCAAAAGTGTGACGATGAGGTTTTTTTTGCACATCCACACGCCCACTATTTCATTATATGTAATTTACTTGATCATATTCCATAACACGGGACGACACACCTGGAGCTCGACACTATTATTTAGCCTTCGTCGTCTGAGCCGGGCTTTCGTTCCTCCTCCTCCGCGTAAATAAATTCCACTCTTTTCGTACTCTGTTGAATATTTACGGCTTAATAAAGCCAAGGCCGAAATTGGGAGGGAGTGAGATGACAAAAGGTTTATCATCCCATTCTTTCGTGTTCGAGGTGGGTGAGTCGTGTGCTGCGGTGGTTGGTTTTGGGTGTCTGTCTACTAAATGAATACTTGACTTCCGCTCGATTTCTTAAAGCTCGCTAATACACGAGTCATCATAAATATTTTACATCGTAATTCCTAACTCTTGAGGAGGAAGAGAACCAAACGCTAACCAAGTTTTGTCTTCTTCTTCCTCCTCTCTCAGTTCTTGCTTAATCTTGTTAGGAGGCTGTTGATGATAATGTTTAATCCTTCCTCATCCGTAATTCTACGTCTTGTTGTGCAGCAGCTTTTTTTCCTTTCTAATTTTTTGTGTGTCGAAAATACATTTATAACTCAATGGAGAGAAGGAAGTGAACGCAATGGAAGTTGGATAAAGGAAAAAAAGAAGAAGGTCGGGTAGATTGCAGCCATGCAGTTTCACCAATCTTCATCAATTTCACTCCTCAGTCCGTATTCATGAAATGGTGGTGGTGGTGGTGGAAGAAGAAATGGGGGATTTTTTCACGCCCAAGTAAAATTTAAATTTTAAAGAGATCTCGTGCGTGAGTGTATTTTGATGGGGATCATGTCTCGTAAATTGCAACTAATTTGCCTTCGTCTGCAGTAGCATCGAGGAGACACACAGAATCAAGACGTGGCATGGAAAAATGGTCCTACAACTCAACTCCTACTAGATTCTAGTCCAATACATGTTTGTACTTACACAGTTTCCATTCCGTGAAAACAAATCCACGTCATCCACACAACCAAACTTTATGCATTTTGCAGCGAGCCGGAAGTGTGGAAAAGTTGTTCACACACAATAAGAGAAGAAGGCACACGAAATTGTAGAGAGGGAAAGAGGGTTGTTTTTTATATATATTTTTTAGAGAAGTGGAACTTAAAAATGTAGATGGCGAATAAAATAAGGCATCTGCATGTTCATCCTCTTCCAGGCAGCAACACCCCACCAACCAACATCACATGGGGCAGCACATTGTAGCAAAGAGTAGTTAGTAAGTAAGTGGTGTGGCGTGCTGCTTTGTTCCCAAGACATCATCCTGGATAAAAATACCAAGACTTTTTAAGGAAATCGATAGTGCATGGTGGAACAAGTAGTAAGTAAAATGCTTCAACCAACAAACTTGGGACTTGCTGCACACTTTTTGACACACATGACTTCCTGTTGTCCCTTTTTTCGTCGAAATTTTCGTCCCTTTTAGTTTTTGGGACAACAGCAGTCCATCATTCACTTTTATAAAAAAATGAGATAAGATGAAACCCAAATAAGAAGGAAGGAAACATATATTTCTAGGATTGCAGTATGTGTGTAGCAGCGAGGTCAGGTCAATTGGTTGTCTGGGGGCTATTATTGGAATCCCTCCGATTAGTTGGATCCATAAGAAGACGAGGAAGAAAGAGAAAGGCGGAAGATTGAGAATTGCTGGCTGCGTGGGATTGCGTAACTTTGTGCAACTTTTCCGGAATGTTGATGTTGATTCTTGACTCGGTCGGAATTCCGGGATTTGCTTGGTAGAAGCTAAAGCAGAGAAAAAAGAGGACGACGATGGGATTGGGAAGGGATTTCCGTCTCGTAATTTCTTCCAGATCTTCCTTCTCCTCGCAAAAGCCAGAGGAGGAGGAGGAGATAAATACATGAAATGATGAAAAAATAAGAAAAATGAAATTGCTCGGACTTGCAATTCTTGGAAATGACTTAAAAAATGAAATGATAATAACGTTGTTTTTTTTTCTTGTGGTTTTTCAGGAGCAGAGTCACAAGTCGTACCGACCATTTTGTGTCCTTACGTTTCGATTCAACTACCTTCTTCATGGACTGGAACCTATGGGCTATCATCTCGTCAACGTGATACTTCATGGCATCGTTTGCATTTTATACTTCAGGTAAAAGACAGACGATCTTATCTCAATGATAGGACAGCCATATTACCCAACAGGCAACAAAATGGTCATAATCTTTATTACGCATAGTTCCAAAGTCGAATGAACCCCCAATAAAAATATTTTAACGAATCGATACAAATGTTGGCCTGAAATGTTAAAAGTTCAGTTTGTAACAACCTCTTTGTTCTGACTTGATTATCCTATTAGTAAAAAGAATAGATAGTTCAAGTTACCATGCACCTCATTCCAAGTTGACTTGGCAAGCATGATCTTGTGGTTGGATTGTGTAGTTGTTCTCGTGCGATTGCAGGTTGCCTGTTTGTTCGTGAAGCGTGTCCAGATGAAAAATGATGTTATGGAAAACAGCTCAAAAAGACATTTTATTTATTTCAGACTTTGCACCATGTTTCTACCGGAATTGGGGAGTTTTGTGGCCTCCATGCTCTTTGCCGTGCATCCCATCCACACGGAAGCTGTAAGTACTATTTAGACTGCTACTATACATTTTTTACCTTCGCATCCATTTTATTTTCACTTTATTGCTTTCAATTTCACCGATTTTTCCATGTGTGTATGTGTCTCTCCAAAATGGGAAAGCGGATTATGTTTAAGAAACAAACTGGGATTTGATCTATTTATTATTATTTTTGCATTTTCTAGTAAATGTAGAAGCACACACGAGAGCAGTTGTTGTGTAAGGAGGGGAATGCCATTAGTGTAATTTCGTCTCGATCATATCCCACCGGGGGAGGCGGAGGGCGAGTGAGTGAGGGAAGAAAAGACGACGCCAGCATTTCCAACAACGGGGCATAAATGTAGCGTCGTGGTTGAGATCGTTAGTAAAATTGTAGTTTTATTTCATGTTTTGACGAGAAAGATGCTCCATGACACCTGAACCTTGAAATGATGCATGACAACATTAGTCAAAATTCGCAACCATTAAATTTTGACTTTATTCTCCCCACAAAAAACCTACTGCAGATGAGGAGAGAAAGGAGGCAGGAAAACTGTGTGGCGACGATGCGTACCAGGATTGAAATGAGTTTGGAACGAGGAGATGAACACCTTTTATGACTTTCATATGTTCCATAATGTGAATTGGAAGCTGCGGGGCCATAAAAATGGGGGAATAAAAAAGCACGGGTGGCTTCGTTTTAAATGCACGCTATCTATTTCATCTCACTATGCCAATAGTTAACATATTCGAGTAAATCTCTCTATCCGCAAAATTGGCACTTGGCCATTCCATCCGTGTAGAGCTAAAGGTTGCAGAAAATGTGAAAAATTACACAAGTTGCACATTACCCAATGCAAAATGGGGTCCATCTTGAACAACATAATGCGTCTATTTTATCTTGAACCAACCAAACCCATTTTCACCCAGTGGTCGGCTGGCCAGGAGGAAAAGGAATCATTTGCTGGTGCAAGTAGGTGGAATGCATGGTGGCACTTGCTACTTTCACTTCAGATCAGAAAGTGGCAGCCACGTCGGAGGAGAAGAAGAAGAGAGAGATGAAAAGGAAACAAAAGATGACTGGCCAAAGTAAAGTGATGCATCCATCATCATACTATCATCATCATCATCATTGTTCCCTTGCAGTTTTTCGGCTCGTCCTGGTCGCTGCAATGCGATCGAATTTACGTGGTCTCTCCTCGTTTTAAAAACTGCCCATCCAAAAGTGGGATAACCTTTCTTAATTGGTTGTGTTAGAATGATTTAGACTATTTTCAAATGTTGCTTGTTATCCTGTCCCTTGGCGACGACACGAGGCAACAACATCGTTCTTGGCTTTGGTGCATGCAGCATCAGTTGAGGCGAGAAATCCTTCAATAAGAATGTGAATGTGAATGACAGCAGCGAGAGGAGAGAGTTGAGAAGGAGAAAACGGGATCAAATTGTTAGTTGAGAATTGGGATGGGAGGACGCCGTTTGGATCAAGTTGATGGACTGACACACAGATGAAAAGAATTTCTTGTGAAATTTGGACAAGTGGTGAAAAGTGAAAGCTTCTGTCGGATCAATGAAGGATAACGTGGTGGATCTTGGCCAATAAGTTGTCATTTTCAAATAAAAGGAGAGGAGAAAGTAGAAAAATATGATGAATAGCTAGCAATGTGAGTCGTGTTGTTATTGCTCTTTTCCATCCATGGCTTAGCAATTCCAAAGGTAAACCTTGACCTACGAGTTTCAAGCACCAAAAGAAGAGATGCAGGACAGAGAAGAAAGTATAAAGAGGATAAAACGTAATTTATCTGAAAATGTGTGTTCAATTTACTTGCTCTCTCTCTCTCTCTTTAGTTTTAGAAGATTTGATATGTTAACTTGGTGGAGCAGAAAGGTTGGAAATGATTGAGAGTGAGGCACAAAAGAGGTTGTAAAATATGTGGGATGTGTGTTTCTCCATTTGGAATACTTTAATTCACCATTTTGCCATCAATTTCCTTTGTGAAGTGCAGATTGGATCCATATTCTGTCTTTATAGGGCACATTTCCAAAAGCATAAAATCCTTTGTTGGTTCCCTTGGCACTTTTGAACAAAATCTATCCATACCACATGATGATGCATATATGCATACGCTCAATTCAGTACACGACCCAAAGACTAAGTAAGTAAGACCCACTGTTTGTCTGTGCATGTATCTCTTTATTAAGGTATACATAACATTCAAAATTTCGATTGTACACAGTGTACACACATTCTTCGCAACATTACTTCATTTCTGATGTACTGCCAAATTTAGTCGTGGAAATTACACCAAATCATTACCAGGCTGAAGAGGAAAGCGATTTACTTACAGGAAAGCCATCCCATAAACAAGTTCTGTTGACTGGAAGAAATTTCGCAATTAAACAGCATGCGGATAAGATAAAATAATAAAATAAAGCCATCAACACTCCTTTGCTCCACTCCACGACGACCAGTTATTTTATTGTTTGGGCCGTTCTCTGGTGGAATGTTTAGTCTTAAAGACTGCATGGTTAATTACACTCACAAGAGGAGACTTGATCGTAAGGATGAATAGACATCCAGTTCAAACAGTGTTCCATGGTACTTTTTATGACCAGCTCCACCCAACTACTTCAAACCCGACTACACTACTGAATCATTACTGTACAGATACTCGCACCCTGGATGCATGGATGGTACGCAGAGCCGTGTAATGTGTATTATGCAGTATTGTGTTACAATAATGCCACGGCGAGAAGATGACTACCTCACAAATGATACATACATTTGCACGATATTACAACAACCCTGTCGAAACGGTTATGTGGGAGATGATGAGGAGGAGGAGGAAAGCTCTTAAGACATTCCAAATATTCCAACCTCATTTAAACCATCACGGGAGAGTTATATATTTCCTGTTGAGAGAGATAGAGATGAAACGGCACGTGCAACTGAGGTATAAATGAACTCGATTGTCTCCTCGGTCTGCCTGCATCCTCCTCTTTTTTGTTGGATGACTGAGAGCAAAGACAAATTCCAAGATTCGGATGAGTAAGCAGAGTCCACTAAATACTTGGAGCACATGTTGTTTAGAGAAAAATGTTGCCTATTGGCTCACTCAGCACTGAATTACTGCATTCTTCCCACTGTTTGAACTTGAAGAAAGAGAGAAAAAAGCCGACAACAGGATGCCGACATGGAGGAAACAAGAAACTTGAAATTTTTAAGTCATTTGTACCATGTGCGGGGGAGTACCTACATGCATCCGCGTGCACTAATAATAATTATACTGGCAATGCATTCGACTGACTGGTGGCAAGCAATTGTACGAAGTATCTAGTTTGTGTCATCCACTTCTCTTCGAAGGGGAAAAAGTGTCGATTTTTCTTAAGACAAACAGGATTTGATCAAAACAATAAAACATGGTAAAAATATAATGGAATGTCGTTACGGTTTTCTACAAATCATTCCATTGATATTTTTGAAGGGTAATAAAAGGGTCCCAAAATTCATACTTATTTCAATATTATACTTGGAAGAGAAAAAGTATAAGTTTGCATGAATTCCTTCCAGAATAAAATTGCTTTTTGAATTGTGCTTCTGCAATTTTATTGCTTATAGAGCTGGATACCTTGTTCCGTTGCAGAAGAGAAAAAGCAAGTAAAGGTCTTCTCCATCTTCATTTCGGGGTTGAGCCTGTCAGGAAAAAGTATGATATGTTGCAGGGAGAAGGAACATGAGAGAGATACATTTCGGATTAGGCGGAACGACGGGCAGAGGAGAAGGAAATAAGAGAGAGGAGTGCCCATTTTATGCTTTTTTCCTTAACCGGCCTCATTTTGTAGGGGAAAGCGGTGAATTTATTTCTAAACATGTTCCCTACGTAACCATGACGTACGAAAGAACGTACAATGTTGTGGCATATTGTTAGTTCAAGGTTGAAGTTTTTTTGCAAATATATAAACGAAAAGACTTTCACCCAAGAAAGTTGGATTTTGATTTGAACATACAACGTGCATTATTTCCTACTAAGGACGGATCGTGAGGAGAGAAAGAGGGTTGGCTTACTAAGCAAAATGAAATTGTTGCTCAATTTTCCCTACTTGCAGAATTTCTCTGGTGATGTAACTCGTGATAAAAAATATCTGTACATTCGCTCATTCTCAACTTTCACTCTATCCTGTGCCCTTTCACGGCTGAAAAGTTGTAAACATTTTACTACTTCAGTCTTAAACTAGAAATTAGAGTGGAGCCAAGTTTAATTCTTTCTCCTTTCTATTAAATATTAATCATGGACGAGAATAAGTAATATGTTACATAGGTAGTTGGGTCTGGTCTGTGTATCTCTCCTTCCATCTATTTCTGAGCTTATCTCGTGGTTACATAATAAATAATTGTTCCAGGTACGGAGACAGACAAACCGCACAATCAAATGTCAACAACCATAGTTAATCCAATTTTTATTGCATTCTCAACAAGTTAGACATACGTATTTCGTCGTCGTCGTCAAATAAATATAATTAATCCTGGGAGAAATCCCATCCTGAGAGGCTTGAAACCCGAAAAAAACATGTTCATGTGAGATTAGACAAAAATAGTAAAATTAAATATGCCATGTATATTTATTTAGTTGGCGAGGACCAGCGTGACATTTTGTAGTTTCGTTTTTCTTAACCAAATTTAATATTTACTCATTTTTGATGGGTTGGCTTTCTCAACGCAGCGAATTTAATAAGGTAACAAGACGTGATCAATTATGGAGCTATTTAGCAGTGTACCCGCTCCCAGCGAGATTTTTGTCCTCCAACCAAGCAAGGAACGACGTGGTTAGTTTAGTGAAAGTCGGTCGAGGAAGGCAAGGTAGGAGAGATGATGGTTGGAGGTTGTCATCTCCGAGGTAATTTAAGTGCTCAACTTTATTCACACATTTTCATGACAGGAGAAAGTCAAACCTGGGTCTGGATAGAATTAAGGATGGTGAATTTCCTCTCTCGTCTCAACTCTGCTCCTCCTGCTGCTTAATCTC